AAATAGACATTTTCTCTATTCAGTAAATTTATCAACGAGAAACAAACCATTATTGATCCAAAAGATTTTTAAGCCTATGAAACACGGAAACCGCATCGACACTGAAATTTTCAAAAACAAATAAAAAAAAGAAAGAAGAAAGGAAGGATAACACCGCCGTCAACGGCTGAAGCACCACTTTTAACCGCAAAAATAAGAATTACCTTAAAAACAAATAAAAAAAAAAAGAAAGAAGAAAAGAAGGATAACACCGCCGTCAACGGCTGAAGCACCGCTTTTAACCGCAAAAACAAGATTTACCTCGATGTCGAAGGCGCGATGCCGTTTCACCGGAGAGTTTATTGATCTCAGCTTCAAATCGGAAATTGTAAGAGAGTGGCGTCTGACTTTTCTGAGTCTGACTTTTCTGAAAGGCAAGGGAGGTGAGTGAGTCGGATAGGCTTGGATGCTCAAACAAGTAATAATAAGATACAAGAATAAAGGCAAATAAATGGGGCTGGATCAACAATTTTTAATCTCCTTGGCCCAACTGAGTAATTTTTGGAAAGTTTGACCAGATATGGTAGCACTTTGTTTTAATTGTTTTAAAGCCCATTTTTTAATTGCTATAAAGCCCAATTTTAAAGGTCTAATCTATACTATGATTCTGTTTATAGGCCGATTGGCTCAATTTAAAATCATAAGTTTTTCGGCCGATAACCATAAGGTATAATATGTTGGGTTTTAAAAGGTTTAATTGGTAATTATAAGGGTTTAATTTGAGCTATTCATACAATTATATTTAAAAAATAACATCTAATAAATATTAAATTTAAATTTAAATATTTGTAATCAATTTTTTTGTTCTCATTTTTTAATCTCTTTTATATATAAAAAATCTATCATTTCACCATGATACAAAGACATTCCCATAAAATTATGATTTTATAAGATCTTATCAATATAACTAACTTATTAAATGCCCTTTGCAAATATCAACCTTTTTTAAAATTACTTTATTATTTCCAAAGAATTAGAAATACTAAACTTTAGACATTTATGAATGATGAAAAAAACATAACACATAGCCTATTCCAATGTCACAACATTAACACACATAAACAAAAATGTACTTCATGTAAAATTAAAATAAAAATATTCAAACTAATACCGTGTGAGATCCTTAACTTATTTATCCATATAATAGCATTCCTTAACACTCTGTCATTTATTGTAAAATATTTCCAATCAAGTAGAACATATATGAATTACATTTTTTTTGTGCAAACACCAAGAACATTGGATGCAATTTCATTTTTTTTAGTTTTGTATATAGACCTGTCAACTGAATCTACATTCACCTTCATGTATGTTTCATCTAAGACACTCAAATAACTCTTAAACTTTTTTAATCTATTATCTATTGAATTTTCTAGTATCAATTCATGTTTTTAAAATAACAAATAATGGAGTTTCAAAATATAATTCAAGATAGCAAGAAATTGCCTACTAATTATCTCTTTAGATTTGGCTACTTAACACTTTATAACTCTATTTTTTATATAATGGACAATAACGTGGATGAAGCTAATAACTAGTTCATCTGTTGACATACGTCTAGATGCCTATAATCCTCATTATGTTTGAAACAAATGACATAATTTTATAAGAACTCTCTTATTCATTCTACAATTATCTATACATTATCTATCACTCTAAAAAACCATTACAGTTAAGTTTAGTTCTCTAATTTGTAACTTATCATGAATGCTATCAGAATAAGATAGTCTACATATTTTTTTATGTTTCATTACAAGTAATGTCATAACAACAATAAGTAACAGATATAACATAGTCTTTATCTGGTTCAAGTGCAAAATAAGCATTGTTTATAATAACATTTTCTTTTTTAGTGATAAATAAGCCATAACTATTTAGAATAAGCATTTTCGTTAATGTTGAAAACATACGTGGAAAGCAAATATGTGCAGTTCGTAGATAGAATATAAAACACATATAACAAAAAAAAAAAAACCAATAACAAAACATCTATGGATCAATGACTAAAACCAAAATGAAGAATACATATGAATGATCTACATCTTTTCAATCAAGATCTAAATGAGATATAAACAAATAAAACAAAAATACATTTGAATCAAACATATTATATAGAATAGATAGTGATGTAACAGATAGTAAACATATTGTTTATTGTTAAATATAAGATAAACAGAACAAGATGAAGATTAAATCACAAAAGTTTTAGTTGATGCTGGTTGAAACAACAAAGTTTTTACTTAAAGATAGTTTTTGCTTAAAGATATTTGTAATGTTGTATGAAAAAAAAAATGGTCTTTGTTGTTGAACAAAGTTAAAGACTCCAAATACGGTTTTTCTTGTGTCATAAACGTTGTAATTGTTATTATAAATTGAATTTTATATGATTAGACATAAGAATGTTTGTAATGCCAGAAACTTAATTCTTTAGAGAAAAAATTGAATTTATTATTGAATTCTCAAATATTGTGTTTCTATTTAAATAAACACAGTAAATAATTACAACTATTGCATTTCTTCAATATAATTGTAGTAAATAAACACAATTATTGCATTTTAAAGCGACCAAATGTAGTATTTGAGTGACAAAAATGAAAAAGTTAAAAAGTTTTCAAATACTACGTTTTTGTTAAAATAAATGCAGTAAATAATAATAATTAGTATGTTATAAAGCATACATACATAGTATTTTAGTTTTAAAATAAAAAAATTAGTTAGATGTCAAATACTGTGTTTCTGTTAAAATAAATACAATAACTAATACTACTCAATTAAAAAAATTCCAACAAAAATTTATCACAATTATTACATTTGTTTCTAATTGACATTTGTTTTTTTTTTTAAAAAAAAACCTTACCACATGTTGATTTTCAAAATGATAAAATAGAAATAAAATATTTTTTATTTAGGTCAAATGTGGGACAAAAGTAACTTTCCTCTCAGAATCATAAAAAATCATAAGAAGATGTAAGTTTCTGATTCTAAGACTTTTTGGTACTATTAGGAATCTAACATTACCGAGGAATCAGATACTCATGGGAATCACATTCCCACAAGTATAAATTCGAGGAGAAAATCTTACATTCCCCAAAACTAAACATCCTCTAAAAGATTTTAAGCCTCAATCAAGCCAAATTCAAATGAAAATTCACCCATTTGAAGTTAAAAAGCATGAAATCAAAATAAAAAATAAATTGTTTATTTTTTTTTACTTTTTCGTTTGATTTCGTATTTAGTTTCATAACATTGTATTTAAAAATGTTTAGGTGCAATTTGAAACTTCTAAAAGTTCTTAAAGGTTTTTGAAAATTGATATTCAAAAATCTTTAGAGAGTATTTGGTTCGCAGAATCTTAGATTTAAAAAAAAATGTGATTTTAAATAAAGTACAATACTTGGGTTTTATTCAATTTTCAAGGCATCCTGTATTTAAATTCACTGATTTAGTTGAGAAAAATATATGTATATATATTAATTTATGTATAATTATCATAATTTCTTTTACATATATGATGGTAACTTTTCATTTTATTTTATTAACCAAAATGACAAATGATGCCTTTAGCAACAAAAAAAGACAAATATTTTTATTTGATTGTTATTTTTATTTATAAAATATCATCAATTAATGCATTTGACACTTTTTTAAGTAACATAAATTGATAGAAAAAATTGTTACAAAGAAAGATCAATTAATGCATTTATCATTTTTTTCATATCATGGAAAATTTAAAAATTATTATTTTCATTTATTTATAAAAAGATCATTTAATATGTTTCTGTACAGAAAATGCATTAAATAATCTTTTTATGTGCATATAGAATAATTATTTAAAGTATTTTCTGTATAAAAATGTCTTGAATAAATTTTTTATTTTTTATATTATGGACCATTTAATAATTATCTTTTAAAATATAAAAGGATTATTTAAGGTGTTTCTGTATAGAAAACGTCTTAAATAATCTTTTTATCATTTTATAAAAATATTAATCATAAATCCTAAAATATAAAAAGATTATTTAAAGGGTTTTCTATACAAAAATGCTTTAAATAATTCATTTATAAAATATAAAAAGATTATTTAAGATGTCTTCTGTATAAAAAAGCTTTAAATAATCATTTTATAAAAATATTAACCATAAACCTTAAAATATAAAAGACTATTTAAGGCGTTTTTGTACATTATTTAAGATATTTTTTGTACAAAAATACATTAAATAATTCTTTTATAAAAATATTAACTTTAAATCTTAAAATATAAAAGGATTATTTAAAGTATTTTTTTGCATGCCAAATGCCTTAATTGCAATATAATATTTTTTTTTGTATAAAAATTTATAACTAAATTTTAATCACTTCCAGACATACTTTTTAAAATGGGTAATGGTTGTTTCATAAATTTTTATTTAGGTCAAATTTAAAAATAAAAAAACTTTCTATTTCTGAATCCTAAAATACCATAAGAAGAGATGTGTTTATGATTTCAAGACTTTGAGTACTGTTAAAAATATATTACTTTCTTTTGTATTAAATTATCATGAATCAAATGTGAAATCAAATACCTATAATTAAGATTTCGAAAAAATATTTATAGATTTTCTCAAACTAAATGTCACCTTAACATTTTTGAAAATTTAAAGTTTTTAAAAATTGGTATTTAGAAGCCTTTAAGAACTCTTAAAAGCTTCCGGTTACTTATTTTTGAAAACTTTTAAAAGTTTCTAAAATTAAAATTTTAAAATAAAATGTAAAAAATAAAAAAATAAATAATTAATAAATATTTAAATAATTTTATTAAAAGTTAAATTTTTTGAAGTTTTATAAAAAAATTTGAGGTGCAAGTAACCTTTTTCATTTGAAATTATTCATTTTACTTAAATTGAAGTTACCCTACTCAAATCCTGAAATGATCCAATTACCCCAAGTTAGAAAACTAAATTCTATTGGACAAAACTGTCATTGCAAAATACTTGTCTATATAAACCCTAAAATCTAGGGCTTCTCTTCTTCTCACCGAGGAAATCGCAATAGAAGCAAGTGCTACCGTTTCGTACGCCTCGCGCCTTGGTCTTTTCTTCGCCAAGGTTCGTTCAGGTTCTCTCTCCTTTTCGTCGTTTCCATTAGTTATTTTTGACGTTGGATCTGCTGCCTTTTTGCTGTTTATGAATTTGTTCTGTTTTTCTTTTATTGTTTTTTGGAGCCGCTGGACGGAGGGACTAAGTTGTTTTGATTAATTTTAACCAGCAATGGCCTAATCTAAGCTGTTTTTAAGAATAGATTGCTTGAATATCTGCTAAACTATGCTGTTAAGTGGCTAAAATGAAGGTATTTGGATGTTTATGAACCATTTTTGGAGGGTTTTACTAGGTTTATTGCCAATATTGGTCAAAATGGATTTTCAAATTTATGATTTATAATCTCGACTGAGGTACCCTTTTCCAGTTATTAGCTTGGTTCGATAATTAAGGATCATAGCAATTCGACCCGAAGTGAAGATATGGTGTTTGGGATGTCAGGTTAAAACAATGTGGTTTAATTGATTTTTTGCAGAATGGATTCCCAAATTAAGCATGCTGTGGTGGTAAAAGTTATGGGAAGGACAGGATCAAGAGGTCAGGTGACCCAAGTGAGAGTCAAGTTTTTGGATGATCAGAACCGTTACATTATGAGAAACGTGAAGGGACCGGTTAGGGAGGGAGATATTCTTACCTTGCTTGAGTCTGAGAGAGAAGCTAGGAGGCTTCGATGAGTGGTTTATCTCTGTTTTGTTATGCAGCATTAGCTAGTTATTCTCTGCTGAGTTTTATTACGTTTGAAAGGTGTCCAATTTCCCATATCGAAACTTGGATTTTGGAAGAACGGTTTCACATGGACGAGTTGTTTTAAAGTTTAGTTGTGTTGTTGTAATCAACTATGCTGGTTTTGAGATTATGATTTTTTTTACACCCATTAATGTTTGTTGTGTTGTGCATTTCTTAAGAAATGCTTTAGAATTAAACATGGCTTGGTGTACTGTTGGGAATATTTGATCTTTGCCCCCTTAATATTCTTGATGTTCGAGATGTGCTTGGTTCTGCTTTTTATTTTCCTTCCAACTGAGAAGCAAAGCCTTGTAACTTGGATAGGGGCCCTGCCTGATTCTATAATTTAGGGGGGGGGGGGTGTGGTATAAGCAGGTGCCTGAATGCTAAGCCAACTCTGGTTCTTGGTCATTAACAAAAGCTAAAGGAGCTAGCCAAGTTTCTTTGTAAAAAATAAATGAAAAACCTATACAAAATGTTTTCTGCGTTTCTTAGAGCTTAGGCACGTTTCAAGTTTGCCCTGAACGTTTTCGCCTAGCTAAGCCTCCCAAAGAATGTAAAGGATGAAAACTGTTATACCATTTCACCACGTTAAGCCTCCTGATTAATTCTCCCATACCCATTTTTTGAATTTGAATTATGAATCAAAATGATAAGAATATGATTTTCGATAAGAATGATTTACCAAGGGCAATTATTATGGAAATTCTCTTTGCAATTGAAAATTAAATTTAGAAAAAAGAAAATAAACATTGAATTGTGCCTTACCAATTTACCCTGAGTTGAAATGATAAGGGGTATTTAATTTGATTTAATTTTGAAAATGGAAAAAATTAAAGAGCACGATAATATCTAGTATTTCAAAGCAAATATGCTTATTTTACAAAAAAATTTCATCAAGTTATTATAATCATGCAAATAAATTATAAGCAATAAAGTTCACATTAGCATGGTGGTTATATTGGATGCATTCTCATTTAGGAGTATAATTGATCAAATTTTAGTTAATATAATATTAAATTTGAGTTCAAGTTTGATTCAAAATTTCAGGTTTTAAACTCAATTGAGTTTTTTTTTTTTTTTTTAAGCTTGAACTTGATTAAAGATAAAAATTGAGTTATTTGAACTTGTTTAATTAGGTTTAATTAATATGTAAAATTAAATTAAATTCTTACATTCGATAAAAACTTGATTATTTGTACTTGAATTCGAGTATGAGATATTTTATTAATAAAAATAATTAAAATATTTTAACATATAAAAGCTTAATTAGACTTACGAACTATTTAAATTAGGTATAAAAATACTCAAATTTGACTTGATCGATAAATCAAACTATAATAACCAAGTCAAATTTGAGTTTTATTTAAGTTAAACTAGAATAGCTTGTGAGTACTAATGTATCATTTATTATCCCACTCTCAGTACATAAATTTTATACATTAATAAATCAGATGATGTTATATTATTAATGAATAAATATTAATTTTTAAAATAAATATAAAAAAATTAGTATTTTTAAAAAAATTTATTCATTAATGAGATAGTATAATTTGATTTATCTCATTAATGAGATAACATTATTTTATTCATTAATAGTTTATAAAATTTATACCATAACAATTCAGCAAATATAAATCTCATAATATTTTAGTCAAAAACTTCAAATTCTAAATGACGTATCTAGAAAAAACCTATTATATATCTATTGGGGATTCGTAAATATTAGTTGATTATCTATGTTGTGGAGAGATTAAATTTTATTGAATAAGTTTAAAAAAATTATTTGTACAAATTTTTAAATACTTATAATTTTTACATGTATTAATATATGTTGATTTTTTAATTTTTAAAGATATAATTTAAATTTTATATTTGATTTTTTTTTTACAAATCATTATACATTATAAATCTTTCAATGAATGTATACTAGACAGGAAGAATAAGTAGTGAAGAAAGTATATAAAACAAGAAAATGATATTGTGCCTAAAATTTTTCATAGTTATGGGTCACTTGTTTTTTTAGCCCAAAACCCATACAAAAGCCCAAAACCCTACCTAAAAAGGAGCCCTAAAAAACCTAGAATCAGGAATCAATTCGATATTTGGATATATGTATCTGTTAGACTAGGGTTTTTACGTTTCCTCATCCCCGGCCGCTTACAGCGAAAGGCACTCTCTTAGCTAATCGCTCCCTCTCTCCCTCCCTTTCTAATCGCAGGTTTGTTTTTGTTCTTTTTTCCTCTCACTTTAATTCTCTCTTTTGTCAAAATCTATTATAATTTTTACTCTGCTTTTGCTTTCGTAGGTATGGCGACAGCCACCGGGACAACTGCACAGCAAGATCCTGCCCAACCTCAGTACGATGTCAAGCTCTTCAACCGCTGGACCTTCGATGACGTTCAGGTATTTCATTTTTCCTTTGCATATCTGTTTATTTCTACGTGTTGATCTATCTGTTTCCTCTTTCTAATGGCTTTGCTGTTTCTGAGTTTTTATGTGAAATATTCCCCTTTAATCTTTTATGTAGTTTATTTTTTATCGGTTTTCTTTCTTGTTAACGATTGTATAAGTTGAACTGCAAACATATTTTTTTTGGTCCTTTCGAGTTAATTGGAACTAGTTGGACCAGAGAATTGTAATAAAGAAATTCGATTTCATAGCTAATAATTGTTCATGTGAAGTAGATTTTGATTTATGTGTTTTTGACATAACATTCTTTGCTAGAGCTTCTGGTTGTGGTTTTATTAGTGTGTTTAATTTATGTTTTCAGCTTGTCAATCTATGTCTAGCATCATACAGATTGATGGGATATCAATTCTTGTTTCGATTTGTCCATATTGTCTTTCTCTGATTTGAGGTTACTTGTTTGTTGTATTTGCTATTAGTGATAATTCAAACTGACAATTTATTTTCTTCTAGAAGCTTGTCTTTATTTCTTTTTTTTTATGGTAAGTTGTTTAAGCAATTGTTTCTTTTGTTGGTTAGATTAATCAGATAAGATGCATTGTGTTTTTTTTTTGTCATTCTAAGTGTTTTAAGACTTTTCATTGGAAAGAATTAGGTTCCTCAACTTCCTGTTTCTTTATAATTACAATTATTTTTTGCTATGGTCCTTGACATGAATGATTTATCTATTTTAGGTTGCTGATATCTCTTTGAGTGACTACATTGGTGTCTCAGCTTCCAAGCATGCAACCTACGTGCCACACACTGCTGGCAGGTACTCAGTGAAGCGCTTCAGAAAGGCTCAGTGCCCAATTGTTGAGAGACTTACAAACTCGTTGATGATGCACGGCCGAAACAATGGGAAGAAACTTATGGCAGTTAGGATTGTGAAGCATGCCATGGAAATTATTTTTCTCCTGACTGATCAGAATCCAATTCAAGTCATTGTTGATGCTATTATCAACAGGTAGCCTATATGACCTTAAGTTTAGTATTTTCTGTTTCAAATGTATCAGGAGTTAATGTTAACCTGTGAAGTAGCAGATGATGTTAATTTATTGTTTTTGGGTTATCTTTATTAGATTAATCTTTTATAAGCTTTATTGCTTTCTGATTGATGTAACAGCGGGCCTCGTGAAGATGCTACTCGTATCGGTTCTGCTGGTGTTGTCAGGCGTCAGGCTGTTGATATTTCTCCTCTTCGTCGTGTGAATCAGGCTATCTATCTCTTGACCACTGGTGCCCGTGAGTCTGCATTCAGAAACATTAAAACCATAGCTGAATGTTTGGCTGATGAGCTTATTAATGCTGCAAAGGGATCATCAAACAGGTAAATCAGCTACTTTAAGTGTTGTCTTCTTGTTTTGCTTTTAAATTATGGACTGTATTCTCATGTGTCTTATATGCTATTCCAATTAGTCATTACTGATCCCTTTTGGATCATTGCTCTCGACATTTATGTTGACGTTGTCGGTATACTTGTTTGTGCAGCTATGCCATCAAGAAGAAGGACGAAATTGAGAGAGTTGCCAAGGCCAACCGTTGAGGAATTGGAAGAGATTACACCATGGCAGTGGAGAATTTTGTTGTTTTTAATCAGAACTTCATAAGTTGTCTGTTTTGTCTCCGGGACATGCTATGAATGTTTTGTTGTTTTTTAATTTCCGGTTAAAAAGGAATTTTCAGTAGATATTGCTAAAGAAAGCATTTTGCTTATTGATTTAAAATTTCGATTGACTTGTGTGTGAAATTATTATGTAGTTGCATTGATTCCCATGGTTTCATTTGCAATAGTTTTCTATTTCGATTTGTCAGCTAACCTTCAATGCGGAATTAACGAAACAGTTATTTTTTTAAAATACAATTTTGATGATTTCATTCCAATTCCAGGAGTCCGTATCTCCTGTGGACTTAAATTTTAAACAGGATACTATAACAAAAAAATTACTACTAAAGTGATTTCGAATTATAAGTTTGATAAAAATTAAACAATGTGTCGTGTCGAGTTTAATGTAGTATTTCGTCTTTAATAATAAATAATTACAATGAAAATATAATAATTACAATGAAAATATAATATAAGTATTCTCACGTGTAATTCAATATATTATGAGATGCAAAATTAGTGTTGTACTTCTTATATTATAATTAAATATTTAATGTCTAAATTTTTAAAAAAATTAATATTATGAATGATTTTTAAATTATAATTAAATATTTAATGTGATATTTGAATTTAAAATTTTTTTAATATAATATTTAAACTATAAATTAAGAATGTGAATGGGTAGGGTGTAGAAAGGCTAAAGCATTTCCTATCTTTATTTTCGGATATTTATATTATATCTATCTCTGTATTAATACTCAACGGATATTTCAAATTGATTTTCATCTCATTCTCACGAATATTTAATGAGTATAAGTAATTTTCATATCAATAGCTTTAAAAAAAATAAAAAATAAACTTTAATTTTTTAGCTTTTTTTTTTTTAATTTGTATGTTTAGGTAATTTTTTATAAATATATATTAATATATATATTTTTAATAAAAATATATTAATTCTAATTAATCTATAATAATAATTTATGTTATTTAATAAAAAATTTATTTATTAATTATATAAAAAAATATATGTAGAGTATGGGTATAGGATGTGTACTATATTATCTGTTTGCAAATCTATATCTAATAAAAATTTAAAATCATATTTATCCTTATATACATAATGTAATATCTATCTTCATCCGTATCTTCATTTAGGTAAAAAATTGAGTTCGAATTAAGTATGGATAAAATTGATATCTCTACTATAAATATGTTAATTAATATAATACTCACTTCTAACGTAATTAATTTCAAATAATGACATATGATGATTAAATAACATTTTAAGTATTTTATCATATATAATATTATATTATAACATACATAAAAATCTGATAAGATTTATTTACGTGAATGTTTATGTGGACAATCTATATTATTAACACATAGGATAATTTTAAATAACTTTATTCAATCAATTATTTAATTTTTAAAAATTTTAAAGTTTTATAATTTACATTTATCCAAATCTTTCAAAGTATATAAATTTTATCCTAATTTAAACTTGAAAAATTATATCTCATATCTCACCTTTACCGGTATATATTAAATACAAAATTCAAATAGTTTTAGAATATTAAATCCCTAAATCTTATGAACCATACAAAATCATGCACTATCTAAATTAATATTAATATAAATTTAAATACATAAAGTTTGCGATTGAATCACTATTTTTTTATAATTTTTTTATCTCTATTTTTCAATGATTTTTTTAGAACATTATTTTCCTATGATTTAAAATAAAAGAGAAAGATATTTTATCTCAATTTAAAATTACTCACATATCTAAATTTAAAACTATATTAACATATTTTATCTTAATTTAAAATTAAACATGGATAAACTACATTTTTTAAAATTAATTAATTATCAAATATATATTTATTAATTCTTCTCACAATCAATATTTTCTTATTTATAAAAGATTGAATAATTAGATTTTTGTCACAAAAATTTGACATGATAAAGTTTAAAATTAAATATGAAAAAGTCATTCATGATATATCACATGTGTAAATTTTAGTTTTCATAGTAAATTAATATATAATTTTAAGAGTATATGTAATTGTACATAAGAAATTGATTTTCTCATTGAGATTTATATGTAATTTTATTTTTATAATTCAAAACTTTCATAATACTTATTTAAATTTTTTCATAATAATTTATATATAGATGGTTTTTTTAGTTTTGAATTTTAAATTATAGATGATTAGAAATATTTTTATTTATTTATATACAATATAAAAATTAGTATGAATCAAAATTTGAAATTATGAAAAATATAATAAAAATTTCATACATTGTGCGGATAAAAAATAGTTAATTAATAAATTTATAATTCATATATCATATTAAAAATTTTTAAAATTCAAATGCATATTAAATATTTCACTATAATTTTAACATAATTTATAATATTAACCCTTTTAAAAATTATAACTTTTATTTTTTTACTTTTTTACAAAAATATCTTACTTTTCTTTTTTTTTTTTAAATTATACTCATAATCAAATTTATAATCAAATACTACATTTATATAATCAATTATTATTTCATCAAATAATTAACTAATAAATTATAATTTAATTAAATAATCAAACTCACACGTAATAAAACTTGCACCACTAAATCAGGACCTGTTGCCCTCTTAGTTCTTTTTAATTGCATAGACGAACTCCGATCATTATAACTAACAGTAAAACTCTCTACTAACAGATCACATGGCATGATTTTACTTTTATATCAGGTAATGATGCTAAAACTGGTGTTCCATGTAAGTCATTGGTTCAATTTTTAATCAAATATGATTTTGCTTTCTAATATTTGTTTTTTTTTTTTTTTTCTTTTTAATTAGGACTTTTTATGAAGTAAAAGGAAAATAGGAAAAAAAATGGAGTCTATGCTTCTAGCTTTTGATATGCTTAAATATCTTTTTTAGGGTTTTTCTAAGGTGTTTTTGGGTTCTAAGATTGTATTTTTGTTGCACTGCTTTTATGTTCTTCATAAACAGCATCTTGATTAAAATTTGAACTTTCTAACATATTTATGAAGAACCGTGAAATTGATATCCTTTCAGCCTTTACACTTGCACACTCTTACGCATTGATTTTGCATTCAAGCTTCTGATTGTTGTTTCTTTTTGTTCCTTCCAATATGTCTGTGTGGATGACTGATAAAAGGTACTTTCCAATGATTGACCGTGATGTTGCCATCCGGTTGGATTTGATTGCGAAAGTTTCAGGGATAGAACACGCAGAAAACTATTTTAGCAGTGTTCCGAAAAAATTTTAAGTCCTTGTGGTTTACAGTGCTCTTCTTAATTGCTATGCGAGGATAAGATCTGTTGAAAAGGCAGAGGCTGTAATGCAGAGAATGAGGACTTTGGGAGTTGATAGGTCAACGTTAACCTTCAATGTTTTAATTGGTCTTTATCATAAAACAGGCAACTACATGAAAATGGAATCTTTGACAAACGAAATGGAAGAAAAGGGTGTTGTTTGTGACAGAGTTAACTACTGCGTCTTTCTTAGTGCTTATGCAGCTCAACGCAATGTTGATGGAATCAATAAAGTTCTTCAGATGGCGGACTCCGATTCCAGTCTTGCTTTACACTGGTCTTTTTATAGTACTGCAGGGGATGCTTACATAAAAGTTGGGCATTTGGACAAGGCTTTAGCAATGCTGAAGAAATCTGAGGAACTGCTTGAAGGAAGAGGTATGGCATATGATTACCTACTGACACAATACGCAAAACTATGGAAGAAAGAAGAAGTTCTAAGGCTTTGGGAACTTTACAAGAAAAACATGAAGGTTTTCAATAAGGGTTACATTGCCATGATAACATCTCTATTGAAGTTTGATGAAATTGAAAGTGCTGAGAAAATTTTTAATCAATGGGAATCCCAGATTCCTCAGACTTTTAACTTATGATATGCGTATTCCAAATTACTTGCTTGTTGCTTATTTCAGGAAAGGTCTACTCAAGAAGTTTGAAACCTTTCTAAACAGGATTATATTGAAAGGCGGGAAGCCTAATTTTTCGTCATGGTATTATTTGCAACGATATTGCTTCGGGAGAATGAAATGGAAAAGGCGGTGGAAGCAATGAAGGAAGCGATATTGATTAGTGTACCTTGGTGGAAACCTGGTGAGGAAAGTTTGGCTGCCTGTCTAAAGTACTTGATAGGGGAAGGAGATATGGATAAAGCAGAGAAATTCGTAAAATTGCTACTAGATCGGGATATTATCTTCTCCGAGTTTCAAGGTAAGTTATTGAGTTATGTAAGAGATGAAAATGGGGAATCAAAGTTGGATGGACTCATTATGCTGGCTGGTGGTGCTTCGCATGGAGGTGGAGAAACACATCAATTTTCAGAGGTGGACGAGGATAACATTGATTGCAAACCAAGAACAACTGGGAAGGATCTATTTATGCTTACTGATTAGTGATGCTCAGAATTCAGGAGACCTTCAGACTCTTAGCTGACAGCATTTTTAACCTGATAAGAAGTACATGAAATATGAAGTAAGCCGATAAAATCTATCAATTCTTTCAAGAATTTAGGTCCCATCCCATGTTATATAATAGTGTTTAGGCCGAAGTTTTAACTTTCAAGTAAAATTCTCTCAATCACAGTGAGGTGTTAATTTCTCCTATTTCTATTTGGTTACCCGATCTCATCTACCGTTGCGTTCCAACTTTAATTTTGTTTTTATTAGTTTTTGACTGTTGTGAGGATTAATCTTAGAAGGTGAGCATCACAAGCCAATGGGGCAAAGCTGCATTAGCCTTTATCAAACAGTTAGAATATACAGAGGATTACTTGGATTCAAAATTCATTGGTACATTCATTTAAGTATTATCATATTTAAGTTGACAATTTCAGATTATATATATATATATACACACACACACGGTTTAAAATTAACAAAAATTTTATATAGATTTGATAAAAATAAAAAATTATATATAATTGATGTATCGATATAAATTATAATACGATGGTTTTTATCTTTTACACATGTTTGATACAAAAAAGACACAATGCAGATACACAATTTGCCAAATATAATTACATTGGATATTTTCTTATGTAACATAGGCCAAATAGGAAATTATTCCTATAGTAATACTGTGA